AAAAAATAATGATAATCAGAACTATAAATATTTATATAATTACAAAATTCACCTTCCGTTGCATATTTGTTATGTTATTCTGTGAAATTTGAAATTCCTCCGTGTCAAAACTAGTATACGACATTTACGCGTAAACGCGTAAAGTATAATTGTTACGCGACGCGACGATAATCTTGATCAGTAGCTATGTTGATTAGATTGGATTATATTGTGATATTAAACTATTGAAGGCGTAGTGCAGTAGTTCTGTAATGAGTCATTGCAAAATTTTCATATATATATATAGTATATTTATATTATAAAATATACTTTTGCATCAATCACAATTTAACTTTTTATGTACTTATTGCTATTTCTATTACATAATTAGAAAAGTTTGTGCAACAAAAAAATACATAAAAAGACCTTACTTCCACTTTTTTTTTTTAATTACTTTACGCGTTCTGGTAGATTTTTTCCTTCAATAGCATCTAAATAAAGCATCATCTAACGATGCTTTTTGAAGTTCTTCAGGATCTAGGTCGAGGTTTACTAATTTGTCGTTACACAAAGATATCACCAGATTTTTGTAGATCGGATAGATTTATCATTATAAATAGCGTGTTTCTTTTTCGACAAATTTTATAACACAAAAACCATCAAAGAAGTGGCAATACTCGATGGAAAATATATTTGAAATTTTACCAAACATCATATAACCAACCTCTTTGATATTACTTTAAGGGTTTCAAAGCGAAATAACGAGTAATATTTTTCCAGGTAGCACGAAAGACGTTCCCAAATAATCTTTTTCCTATAATAAAATCCACTCCTTTACAGTCTCCAAAATATAGTGTTTTACGAAGCCTATTGTCTATAATATTCAATACTTTACTTCAGGTTATAACAACACTGGCGAAGAAGTCGCTCTAAAGACTGACACAATCAGTCGAAAACAAACACCTCCTTTGCTTTCCGTTCTTTTGTGGCGCAGCGACGAAGTATACCGGAGACTAGAAAAGAGATTCAAGACCAAAGTTAAGGATATTGATAACACTCTTAAACTAATGCCCTCACAACAACACATAAGAAAATAATCAAAAATAACGTCAACCAATGTGCCAGAAACAGGGACTACAACATCATGAGATTCTGAATCAGTATGATCAAAGGAAAGGACACATCATTAAGTGGTGAGTATGATTAATAGTTTGCCGGATGGACGTATGAGTAGGTGCTCACTGCAGGGTTCACTGAGAGTCTTCCGGATGGTGGACTATTATGATTGACATAGAAGTTTATGTGCTCGTAGTACGTACCATTTGCTACTGGCTATGTAGTCATCTGCTTTGTGCACAAGTCGTAGCTACAATGATGCCACATAGGTGATACCCAAGCCGATTCATATGGGAGGGCAGGCCGTGGTGCCCGTGGAAATGACACATATTTCTATGTCAGGCACTTACTTAGTTGTTGTTATTAAATACTATATGAGACCATTTACCATAGATCTTATGATGGCCACATGGGTGTCCTGGGGTTCCCTGCTTAGGCATAATTAACAGGGTGGTAGATACTCATATGGTATATGGTAATAGTGACTAAAAATTTTGTAAATTTTGTAGGATATTTGCGCTGGAATGAATTTGCATTCTTTTTTTGATTCTCGTGGAATTATAATATAAAACAATGATAATGCGAATAACACAAGATGGAAGAAAAACAAGAGTAAGTTATGTAATAGTTGAATATTATATAATGTTATTTGATTATATTAAAAATTTAATAAATTCAATGTAATAAATTTCAAATTCTTTCAACATATTACTTACCCAACTCAAGCGTTAAAGTGGAAGTGCAAGTAACGAAAACGAAGCCTGTTGGCTATAGAATATTCAATGCTTTACTTCAGACAATCAGCCGAAAACAAACATCTCCTTTGCTTTCCGTTCTTTTGTGGCGCAGCGACGAAGTATACCGGAGATCTAGAAAAGAGATTCAAGACAAAAGTTAAGGATATTGATAACACTCTTAAACTAATGCCCTCACAACAACACATAGGAAAATAATCAAAAATAACGTTAACCAATACGCCAGCAACAGGGACTACAACATCATGTCCATAGATTCTAAATCGTATGATCAAAGGAAAGGACACATCATTAAGTGGTGAGTATGATTAATAGTTTACCGGATGGACGTATGAGTAGGTGCTCACTGCAGGGTTCACTGAGAGTCTTCCGGATGGTGGACTATTATGATTGACATAGAAGTTTATGTGCTCGTAGTACGTACCATTTGCTACTGGCTATGTAGTCATCTGCTTTGTGCACAAGTCGTAGCTACAATGATGCCACATAGGTGATACCCAAGCCGATTCATATGGGAGGGCAGGCCGTGGTGCCCGTGGAAATGACACATATTTCTATGTCAGGCACTTACTTAGTTGTTGTTATTAAATACTATATGAGACCATTTACCATAGATCTTATGATGGCCACATGGGTGTCCTGGGGTTCCCTGCTTAGGCATAATTAACAGGGTGGTAGATACTCATATGGTATATGGTAATAGTGACTAAAAATTTTGTAAATTTTGTAGGATATTTGCGCTGGAAGGTATATGGTAATAGTGACTAAAAATTTTGTAAATTTTGTAGGATATTTGCGCTGGAATGAATTTGCATTCTTTTTTTGATTCTCGTGGAATTATAATATAAAACAATGATAATGCGAATAACACAAGATGAAAGAAAAACAAGAGTAAATTATGTAATAGTTTCATATTTTATGAATATTATATTATAATGTCAGTTTTTTTTATTTAATTATATTAAAAATTCAATAAATTCAATGTAATAAATTTCAAAATTCTTTCAACATATTACTTACCCAACTCAAGCGTTAAAGTGGAAGTGCAAGTAACGAAATTTTATTTGATCCAATTAATAGGTTAGATCTTTCACCCAAATAGAAAATCGAGTGGAGCAGGTATTGGATTATAGATATGAAATTTGATGAGAGAATATGCACAAGCGTAAGAGAAATGGCACTTGAGTAAAAGTTATAGGAATATAGGCTAATTTACTGATTATAGCCACAGGTACTAGTTATATTAAAGTTTCATGTGTGAATCATACCAAACTCATTTATTTGGACCAGAATCCAGAGGAGTGAGAAAAAGTAGGATTAATAAATTATTTATTGAATCCGTTAGTGCACCGACTTTATAATAAGAAATCTCATTATAACAAGATATCCAATTCAACTATATGCAAAGCATTAAAATAAAAATTTAAACCTTAAAGCATTTGTTGCTGAATTGAAGATTTGATTTTAATTATTATACAAACTTCGCTAAATGAAAAAGGTTAATGAAAGGATGTTTTCTTAATAGCTTCAAGTCAGCAGTTTAGTTTGATTCAAATGCCATGTTCACATCTAAACGTATGCCGTACCTGATATGTACTGTAGGTACTGTAGGATAAATAGGCGATAGCGGAGGTGATAATAAATGCAAACTTTTAGTATTTTTTTTGTATCACATATACGGACTAACCAAAGAACTTACAAAAAAAAGAATACATTATATTCGTTTTATTTAATGACCATTCGTATTTAGTTTGTCTATACTTATACTAAAATACAACTGCAATAGCTTTTGAAACAAAAATTATTTTTCCGCTTTCAAAAATACGATGAAAACTGAAGATGTCAAATCAGTTGATTAAGTATAATTTCACGAAAATTTTGAGGAATGATGCATATAATAATTAATTGCTACTGATGGACTATAATACTGCTTCAATAACTAATTCAAATCTTCAATCTTCAAAAATAACAACTTCATGATGATTTATTTATTTTTAAAATTAAAATAGGAATATTAAATATTAATTTGCATAGTTTTTATGATACTTAGTAGCAAAAAATTTACCTATTAACGTTAGAGAAATTTCCTATTCATCTCCACAATAATTACCATAAAATCGTACATTTGGAGAAATTTTTTAGAAATTTAATCCGACTAGATTGATAGCAAATTTGTACCCTTAGATAATTGGTTGCTGATGCGATCAGCGGTCAGTCATACCGATCAATAATAATTGGTTCGATTTTATAATAGACGACACGACGACACGTTTATGGAAAGCCGCCATGGTCAAAAGTGCGTAGCAAAACATAGCGTGTACACGCTACAAAACATAGCGTATACACGTTATCTTTTACTACGCACTTTTGACCACTACCGCTTGCCATACACGTTCACCAAGCCACGTATATAAGGCTATAAGCTAATCATATATATATTATGAACAAGATTACAATATAGTCTTATTACTTCCAAACATCAAGTTTTAATCATAGATAGATAAATTTGGTGGGTTTGACAGCAAGATTTCGGAAAATTTTCTATTGATAAATATTTCATTAATTCTAGTGTTTAAACATACAAGGAATTTATAATTCGCAATTCAATGTTAACTATTCAAAAAAAAATTATTGAAAGTACATAATGAGTGATAGTATTGAATTGGTTTAGCCATCAGGGAAACATGATCAAGTTAATCTACGAGTAATATTAAAGATTTTTACCGTCATCCCTTAAAAATAAATTCGAGTATATTCAATTAAAGCATAATAATTTATAATTCAAAAATTTATTAAATTAACTTACAAAATCTTTATTATAAATGGGTGGATATTCTATTCAACGATTTTCAGTTAATGTTTTATTGTAATAAAAACAATTTTATGATTGATTTTTACTGTATTAGAATTTTTATCAAGACATTTTATAGATTTATTAAAAAATCATTATTATTACAAAATTCTAATTATTTTTAATACTACACAAAATGTCAAGTTATGAATGTTTCACGTACATAAGAAAATTTTAATGAATTTTAAATAAATAATCTTATTTATTTTATAATATGCGGTATATTGTAAAAATATAGACATTACTAAGAAAGACATTAATTTCTTAAAATTTAAATACTTAATGCAATTAACTTCCATTCAATTAATTAATTCAATACGCCACTAAAATTCATTATTATATTACAAATGGAGTAGTAAGCAAAAAGAAAATATAACTAACAAAGTATAAATTGTATTTGGAATTGAATATTTGTACCTTGTTATTACTTTCACTTCCATTTCCATAACAAGAAACTTCTTGTGATCCATCACCTAATAAGACCATGTGACTGTATAAGGCTGATTTGTTAGTTCTGATATGGAAGAGACCAATGATATCACCATTCATCAATTGACCAGTATCATAAGAAGTGATTGGATTGTAACGTCGAATAAGCCATTCATCATCAATATTTCCTCCACCTGGGCATATGGTCACTAATTATTAAAATTCTAAATTGTTAATACATGTAAGTATATGCTTATCTTTTGTATTCAACTCAATAATACCTTGTTGTTGTTTCGATATTGGTGTAAATTTCCCTTGATTAGTGTCATGAGAATGTAAATTACATTCCGTTGCTTTATGCTTAAATCCAACGATACTATTAAGAGATACGGGGATCCCTTCATTTATACTTTTACCACTGGCTCCAATTATAGTCCAAACTTCATTTTCCAAATTTGTTTTCTCGTCACTACAAATAACCTGTAAATTTATAAATAAAATGTTACGGAGTCAAACTATTTTTTGATACAATGAATTGATAATGAAAAAAATACAGTATATATACTAGTAAATACCATATATTGCTTGTTTTGCGAACCCAAGTCATATTTGACTCCATTTGTAGATAGATACTTTCCAGTAGATACATGTACAAGAGCGATTTTCGATCCAAATACAATTGGCTTTTTCTGTGATTCGTTCTTTTTTATAAAGAAAAAAAATTACTAAGTGGTTGTAAAAATAATAATATGAAATTACAAATTATCTTACGAAAAAATCTTCTATCACTTCTTCAGGGGATAAGCGCCAGTTGAAATAACGGACATGGCTATGTGTAAATTATCATTCAATATTTTGTGTTGACTTCATTACTACTATCTTAAATTATACCTAATTTCACCATTAAATCCTTTCCAATTGAAAGAACGTCCAATATGTAATGGTCCATCATTGAAGACAACTTTTTGCGTTTTAACATTTTGAATACAAAAGTATCCTTCCCATTCACCATCTATATAGATATCTAATCTTTTTTCTGGATCAGAAATCGTATAAGTAATATGATACCATTGATTTAATGTAAGTCCATCACCAAGCGAACTAATTCCCACATTATAATTCCAGTCGCCTGAGAATCGAGGATGCAATGTGAGTTTATCTTTTACTAACCAGAGGCTGGGCGTACCGACTACTTGTTCAGTACCTAAATGTATTAACATTTTATTTGTGACCGGAGAAAACATCAGATATAATAATTCATAATCAAACTTCAATCGTGCTTAAATACCTTATAAAGTATAGTTAACTCTACCTTTATGAAAAATCGTAATCCAACCAGAACCATGATCATGCATTTTCAGTCGCAATGTTATTGATAATTTATCATTCACTACAGGTAAGTCAGTTTGCTTAAAGACTCGTTGATCCTGTTCTTTCATGGAAATAGGACCTGAAATTAGTTCTGCCCACTCTTTAACGGCAAATTTCATCATCTTTTTCTAAAGATTGATCAGCATAATATTTTATTTATAGTAGACAAATAAATTTAATTGTTAAAAAATGCAAAATTTTGAAATTTCTTCAAATAGAGTACCAAATTTTGAGAGTATCTGGAAAAAAAAAAAAAAAAATTGTAAAAAGCTATGAACCAACCTTATATATCATAGTCTAATGTTGCCGATCTCACAATATCAGTAAGTTTCACAAGGGCTAAAATTCTACCGTGCACAAAAATTGTAGTACAAATCGTTTTTTTTTTCGTCTTAACGTAGTAATTGTTATAAAAAATAAATATTAATAACAAAACAAATATTAAGAAGTATATATATTTCAATTGTAAAAAAAATTGTCAAAATTAATAAAAAAATTCTATAATCATTCAAAAAAAAAAATTCTTTCGTGACTGTTGATCATCTTTTTGCTTGATTTCTGACGAAAAGATATCTTTTGATAAAAATAAAATCTAGATAATTATATTTATTAAAAAACTACAATAAATTTGCTTAAATTTAATAAAAAAAAAAAAAGATTCTATTTTATTTTTCTATTGTGCTCTTTAATTATTCAAATTAATTGAAAAAAAATCTAAACAACATGAACACTATAATATAAAAATCACATACTTTCTAAAGATAATAAGAAAATTTAGTGTTTTTTATCAATATTTTATTTTTTTTCCTTTTTATTTTTTGGTGAAAAATTTAGTTTATTTAAATCATAAGAATTGTTTTGCAGTAGTATAATTACCACAACTACTCACGTATACACAGTGAAATTCGATATCATGCCAGAACCTCGATATAACGGAACGCGGGTCTGGAACGAATTATTATAATCTTAAAATTAATTTACCTCGATATATCGGACTTCTTGATATAACGGATTTTTGACAAATTTTACTAATGAAACGGATGGTTCCATTATATCGAATTTCACTATGTAATTCTATTTCATTTTTTCTAAGAAATTTATAAATTCCATGATTTGGATATACAGCTGGAATACTTAAAATTTTAACATAAGTATTAATACCTTTAAAATTTTACTACAGAAAAACCATAATTCAAGTCTTCGTAGATTTTGAGTTTATCGATAAATCATAAATGACACTTGTAAAGTACCTCCATCGGATTAGAGTGTTATTGTAGGTAGTTTCGATAATAAAGGAATAGGCATTATAATCATTATCTTCATCGGTTTATATATTTTAAAACTTTGGGTTGACTTTGATATTTGATTTATTAAATTAATAAAGATATAAAATGTTTTGAATTGATACATTCGGTTGCATGCATGAAAGAAATTGAGATGCTTAACGTCAAATTATTTATTTACGTGTAAGTATTATGTATGATTCGGTCACCATTTCTCAAAATTTAACGATCCCTTAATTAGAAACTTATTTAATTAGGACTAGCAATAATATTTGGTCCGCTAATATGTACAGCATATATGCGTATGTATCCATACTATTTTTCTTTTAATATCATTTTCAGATCTCAAATAAATTCACAATATTAACAATGAGTGGTTAAAATTAGGCAATCACTCTGGAATCTATTTGTTCATGGAAGACATAGATGATATATTTCTCTATATCTGTTAATATCACGGACGTTAACCTTCGAAAACGTGGAACAAATCATTGGGTAAGAGGTGATTCCGTGATTGTGGAAGAATTAATTTTTACACCACCACTTCAGTTGTTTTCGGACAGATTTCCAAGGATTAGGAATTCTGTCTTTCAGAAACTACAATAATCGGTTGAATAAATTATTCTAAGCAACACACACTAATGTGATAAAATAAGAACATTAAAGAGAATAATTATCTATTGTTCTTATAAGGCGATCTAGATTTTTTTTTTTTTTTTGATGAACAGTATTAGTTTTAAAATTTATTTATTTTAATCAAACACCACGATCATCTAAAATGCTTAAAAAAAGTATATTAATTTGTGTTTTTGAAACAAAATCAGATCCTTTTCTGATTCCCTTAATGTCTTATTTGTACAATACAGTACAATTATCACATACTGTATTTCACATATATCATCAATGTTATGTTAGCTTTCTGTTTCATAAAAATTAGACCATAAATATTTCTTCGGTGGAATAGAACCATGGACTAATATTAGGCTTAATAAATATATTATATTAAAGTGTAGTATTCCATATTTAGTATGATTCAAAATATCCATTGAAAAAATGATGTTCCCAAAATCTCTTGTTGAACAGGAATTCCAATAATAATTAGTGTTCCGATCAGCGAATAATTTCCATCGTCTATCCGTATCCGCGGATCTACAGTGTGGGACAAAAAAAATGAGAAAACTAGTCACGTGATATAAAATGATCTACATCGCCAAAAATAGATTGTTTTTGTACCACCTTAATACATAATAAATAACACGTTTGTGGCGACGTTTGACAACCTTTGTGTTTACCAACACCCTTTACTTAACGAGAAAATTCCCACATAAAATCTTGCGCAATGACGAAAACTTACGATGAAACTCTATTAAGATTGTGGAATAACGGTATACATGATGCTAAAAAACTACACAAGCTTACGAACATTTCACTATCCACAATTTATAGAAAAATCAAAAAAATCAAAAAAAATGGTTTGTTAGAGCATGCTGGAGGGAATGGTAGACCTAAAAAGATTATCGCAAGCGCCTCCCGTGTACTTAGCCAATATGTAAGGCATGATTCTTCTCTTTCCACAAGGACTTTAGCGAGAAAATTACAAAATATAGGTGTAGAGGCATCATATAGAACTGTTGGAAGGCACCTTTCAGGTGTTGGCTATTTAAAAAGACTACCCAAAGCAACACCAATGCTGACCGAAGCACACAAAATAAAACGGGTAGAGTGGGCAAGACAACATATTAATGACCGATGGAATAAAACTTTGTTTACAGATGAAACAGCATTCCAGCTTTTTAGGAATACTGTAGAACGTTGGTATAAAGGAGAGAGGCCGGTTCGGCGTATGCCTAAAGATCGTACAAAAATTATGGCGTGGGGCGATTTCAGCGCAAAGGGGAAAACAAGCTTATTTTGTTTCAAACAAATCATGAATGCCGAATTTTATGTGGAAATTCTTCGTAGACATGCTCCTGAGATGTCCCAGATGCTTGGTGATCATTGGCGCTTTCAACAGGACAATGATCCCAAGCATACGAGTCGTCTTGCAAAGGCCTTCCTCCCAGAAAATTTCCCAGTAGTTTTAGAGTGGCCATCCAATAGCCCCGACTTAAACCCCATTGAAAACTTATGGTCAATTATTAAGAATAAAGTAGAGAAACGGATGCCAAAAAATCTCGATGATCTGGAGAAATTTATGGTGGAGGAGTGGCAAAATATACCAAATACCGTTCTAATCAATCTTTCAAAGTCAATGAAACGACGTTGTGAGTTAATTATTGAAAAAAATGGTGAACGTATACCATATTAATTTTTTTTTAATAAAATTGTCTGGTCTTTGGCTTTAAAATAAAAAAAAATTCACGTGATTTATTATAATAATTGAGCGTGTATGACCTATGTTTTGATTCTCATTTTTTTTGTCCCACACTGTATATCTCCGGATGGCGGATAGACGGATTGTAACTCTACAATAATAAATATTCTAGATATTATTTTGACAATTTGATGCAATAATAGCCAATAAATTATTACTTTGTATTTTTAATTTAATATTAAGGTTGATTGATTAAAAATTAAACTTACATCATAGTACATCTAACCCTCAAGTGACATTAAATGAATTATAAGTTTAGATTTTAAATTTGTGGCCAAAAAATATGACAGCTAAATAAAGCAAGTTGTTTTCACTCTTTCAGTGTCAATTACTATTGCAAAAATGATATTACAATCAGCTTCGTTGTTATAAATAGTTTTTGAAATGAATTCTAGTATTTTTAATTAACCCCCCTCATTTGTAAGTCTTAGCAGGCAGTTTCATCTAAAAATTTAATATATATTGCAAGCATAAAGAATCACATATTTCTATATAGCTTTATTTAGTATATAAATTTTTAATTTAAATATAGTAAATGTAAAAAAAGTTTGTTATAAGAAGCTAAAGTAATTAAGTAATCAAATTATTCATAAATTCTGGGCTTTTATAAATTCATATGATCAACTTATCTACACTACAATAAATATATTATTGGATGGGGAGTAGATATATCGGTCACAGGACCGAATGATTGGATGAAAATGGGTGACGTAGTGGCCATAATGAAGGTCCCTCATCCAATAAAAGTGTTATCGTTCTGACGTTTCGATCATGCATCATATGTTTAACTTTTTATAGATTTCATTTTATACTATTTTTAATTCACTTTATAAGCGTTTCCTATAAAATATTCATTTACACTATATTCTTCTTTACTCCCCTTCATTAATATCAATCATGTATTATTGTTATGCCTAATAAAAATATCGGTCTATGCTGAACGATAACGATAAATAATAATATATATACAATATATAATAATGATACATTTCCTTAATTCACGATCAGTTATTTCGGAA